AAAGTTACTTTGTAAGGCGACTGCGGTGCTTTTTCTCAGTGGCCCGCAAAACGACACACGAATGACCATTTCGTTTTGGTTTTTAAACTTGAAGAATAGTCAGTAAAGTAGAAAGAAGGGAGTTAAAGCGTAATAGAATAGGCGAAGGCTGTTCTATAGGCTTGAGAGGTTATGTTCACCATTTTTGTTGATAAATAAACAGAATTTTTCCTTTTTTGGTTGTTGCTGTTTCTGGCGGAGTGGAGTTGTGTTATAATTTATTTGATAAGGCATGCCGGAAATTCGCATGCATATTTCCCAATATCTCTCATGAAAAAGGAAAAACTTTAAACTTGCTACGTCATTGACAAAGAAAATATTACTCTTTATCTAAAAAATGGCGTTACATTTCAGTGAAGACAATGGCCAAACAATACGAACCCTCTCTCTTCTGCAGGTTTGACCATCCGTCCATTATTATTTCTTTCAGAAGATGTTAAACTCTTCCGCTGATAAGGGTTGTCTTTTTTAAAATATAGGAGTTAAAGTGAAAACACCGTCATTATTTGTGGAGTTCGTGGAAGAATACATTATGAAATGCATAATTCGATTAGAATATTTACAAAATGTAAGTCTTTTCTCTTTATTCATGGCTTTTGAATATATGACTATACGCTCCTGCGCCAGTATCTTCCTCGGCTTTCGAGATATCTGCATAAAACCTTTGGGCGTTGACCTAAAAGATATTTTCTAAGTTTATCTGGTTCCAGGTCGCTTTTCAAATATTATTGTCTTTATCATGTAATCTCTGTTGAACTGGGAGCTGGAGAGGCAAATCTGCTTGAAAACAACGTGCCTTTACCAATTTTCTTAGAAATTTACCTAATAAAAGAGAAAAAGTTTCGACGCGATTTTAATGGAAATGTAAAGTAATGTGTAATGTATTTAATTTTCGGGTTCCGGTCTTGATTAAAAACTAACAGGGTAATTCTGGTAACTGTCTTTCAACGCACCACACACTTTCGAGAGACAAAAGTAAATTAAAAAAGGAAAAAATGAACATAGAGCAAAAATAAGTGGAAATAGTTTTAGAAATGAAATTAAAAAAAGAAACAAAGGAAAATAGTACTAAAATAGTACTTGAAAGGTAAAATACAAAAAAAAAAACAATAGGATCCTAAAAACTAAGTGAAATAAAAAAAGATTTCTTTTTAAAACAATGGCATCCAAAAAACTAAAAGAAAATAAAATCAAGGTAAAAAAAAAAAACAAATAAAATGTTGAGCTTTGTACCACGATTTGTTTGTTAGCAAAAATGGAAACAACCACAAAGTCTAAGCGGTAGAAGTTATAGCTGCTATTTCGGAGATCACCACATCTCCTCATCAGACTTCTTTTTTCTAGACTTCAGCAGGGGTCGAACCCGCATCATAGATGTGCAAAGTGAGAAGCGTTTACCGTTCAGCTATGCGCACCCCAAACAAATCGTGGTACAAATTCCAATAATACTACTGGAATAAACATTAATACGTCACAATAAAGTTAACAAATAAATTAAATAGCTTTCTAAAAAGTAAATGAAAAATAATATTTTTTTTTTCAACAACAAAAACTAAAAAATAAATGAAAATTAAACTGAAAAAGGACAGAAATTTGATTTAGTAAAGAATAAATAAAAAAGTTCCTTAAAATTACATGAAATTTAAAAAAAATATATATTTTTATTTTTAGGAGAAAAAATTAAAAATTAAAAGAAAATTAAATTAAAAAAGAAATAGGTTCCTAAAAATGAAATGAAATTAAAACAAATATTCTTCTTTTTAAAAGAATAACATAGAAACTCTACATGAAATAAGTTTCTAAAAATTAAATGAAATTAAAAAATATGTATTTTGCATTTTAAAACAATAAAATCTAAACACTGAAAGAACGTTATAACAAAAAAGAAAGAAAGAAAAACATCCACTGTCCGAGCGCTCGAACTCGGATCTCTCAAATGGCACGCATGTGGCTTACTCACTCGGCCATTGCGACTGTTGGGTCGACGCGAGCTAAATTATATATTTACAAGTGCTGTCTCTCAAAATAGCTTTTCACCACGAGTGGTGAATGAGAGAGATTTTTTTAGGACTTTTCTGCTAGAAAAACAAAAGTCATTTGAACTATCTTACCATCTGTCTTTCATTTGTTTTACAAAGGACTTTTTACTATCTTAGCCATAATTATCCTCTAAGGATTTCTCTACAAATGTTTGCACAATGATGTGAGAATAGACGATTGTAAAAAATCGGAGATATTTAAGACATTAATCTAAGTGAGTTTTTTATATGAACGCAATCGCCAAAATAAGCTATAAATACGAATTCTGGGAGCCCTTCATTTTGACTCTCTGTCATTCTTCCTTCAATTTTGTATGTAAAAAATGAAAAATTGATATTCAACTTTTACACAAAAGAAGCTACAGTATGCGCTAAATCCGGCTGCGTGGTATGCAGATATTCTATTCACTGAGATTGACTAGAGACTTCAAGACTTCGAATGAAATGCGTTGCCACATAATTAGATAACTTTTGTAATACACAAGATTCAACAGATCCTTAAGATTTGACATGTCATGGTCTCTAAAAAGATTTGTTGTTGTGCTGGCAGTCGGTAAAATGATATTACATATCTCAATTTGAAGTTGCAGTAATCTTAGAATGTAATCTTTTTATTGTGCTTGATAATTTTTCCGGTTTTTAATTCCCGTTTAAACTATTTTAGTAATACTGAAAGCCGAAAAAATTAAATATGCATTTATCAACAGATCGTGGTATCTAGAGTACCTACTGTACTTAAATACATACATGTATGTATGTATGTAGCTATGTTAATGCATTTTATTTCTTCAAATCACACGCTTTACACCTGCTATTTTTCTGTGGGCGCCCACTTGTAGCGCAAATCAAAAAAAGGAAAATTCAAAAAATCCCATGACAACCAAACGGGAAGGACGAGCGGCAATCTCGGCAAGCCTGCAGTATTTTTTCACAAACTATCATTATTTTACTTTATCTGCAAATGAAGCGGACGAAATAAATCAGGTAGGCGAACATTCGATCGCACGGCAAAGGTAGGCTATTGCACCGGTGGACGACAACACTGAACCGCCGGATACGAGGCGGAACGAAATGCGCGCCGCCAATGGATTGCTTTGCATTGATTGCCGTATTAATTTCACCTAGCGCAACAACAACAACAACATCAACAACAAATGCAACATTGATAATAAAACAAGCATGCCAAAGGGTTTAACGGCAACAGCGGCAATAAAAACAACAACAACAACAGCGGCAACGATAACGACACCACAATGTCGCAATGGATTCAATGACATTACGCGTCAGTGTGGCATGAATGGACACGGCAAGGTGGACCAGGTTGATGGTGGACGACGGACAAGGTGGTAGAGGCAGGTGAGCGTGGTGCTCTACTTAAAGTTACACAGCAGTATATACAAATATTTGTGTGTATATTTTTATTTTTATATTTTGCATTTATTGAAATATATACTCATCTCGTATAAGATTTATTTGTATGCAACCGAAAAAGGGTAACAAAAGTGAAGGCGACACAGATTCCGCTGTCAAGTTGCAACAGTAAGCAGCGCAAGCGCAAGCGCGTAATGCTTGCGCAGTTATGCAATAGCCAGCCGCCAGCCGCCAGCATTCAGCAGGCAATTACAGCAGCAGCAGCGGCAGTTGTGTGGCCGTAGCGAAACGAAAGACTTTGGCAACGAACTTTAATGCGCAAAGGAAGTGACGTTGATATGCGTTGCACTGCAACGGTTGAGGAGGTAAAGGGAACGGATGCGGATAGGAGCGACATGCGGAGGAGTGTAAGGCGGCGCAGACCGAGTTGAAGTCGGACGCGCTGTTGCTGCCACTGCAGCTGATACTGATGTGTAGAATGGCGTGAAGTGCGTGTAGGAATCGTAGTCGTAGGTGATGTTGTTGCATTGGTAGTGGCAGTTGCCTGCATAGCTGTCACTTACCGCTTACGCAATAATATTTATATGCAACACATACTCTTCTTTTTTTTCTTGCGGTTTTGAATTTTAATTCTTCTTGCACTGTGACAGACTTTTAGTTTTAATTGTACGATTGCGCGTGCGCTCGTGTATGTGTGTGTGTGTGTGTGTGTGTGTGCTAGCGCTCGTATGCGTTTGCTGCATGTCAATCAAATCAAAAAACTCACTGCCTCTCCCAGCAACAACAGATGTAACACAAGACATAGCGGCTGGCATACAGTTAGGAGCGGCAGGCGGCATTTGGCGAATGCGTGTCAGTTATTTGGCCGCTACTTGCCACGGACATTCACATTTGCAGCTGTCAAAAATTTTAATTAAAAACTTGTAAACACATACTACTGTAAAGCGCGAGCGCACGCACACACGCACAAACACATTGAGATACAGAGGCAGACGGACTTACAGTTGCGCATGCGAAATTGCGTTTTATAATCCTTTTGAACGACGCTGATGACTAAATGACAGCCAAATCGGATGTATCTAGCTGTATATATAAAATATATGCATACATATGTGTGTATGTACATACATATATATGCGTAAGTGTTGGCGCGTATCAGCGGCGACGCACCCTTCATGCCTTCATGCCACACCATCGGTCAGTTTGTGCGCGTCGTGTTACCTGCCACTTGGCATTGATTGACGCCTACCGAAACTGTCACTGAGTGCCAAGTACCAGTCATCAGTCACTGGCCGCTAGCTTTTGAGCTTTTTGCTGCTGCATTTTTGTCGTTATCTTTTTTGTTGCTTTGTTTGCATGGTAACCATGATTAAATATTATGTATAATCCTGTTGGTGCTGCTGTTGCACGCATATTGCCGTTGGCGGACATTGGCACTTGTTGCATGCTGCATATAACTTTGATTACGGCCAGTTGCGTACATACATACATATTTGAGTCATCTAACAATTACCAGTACATATGCTGGGATAATATTGGGAGTTCACTTACCTTATCGCAGAAGACCTTAATTTGGCAGTAGCCTCGATGGAAGACTTGAACATCGCGCGGATCCTCGAATGTGTCGATTTGAACGTGCAATGGCAGACCCTGGAAAGAGAAAAGAAAAAAACAAACAACAATTTATTACACATTTTGATAAAATTATGGATTTTAAACTTTAAAAAAGTTGGTTTTTCTAATAGCGTTGGCCTATCGGCAGACAATGGCAAACCTTCGAGCGTATTTCTGCCATGAAAAAAAGATTCTCATTAAAACCGTTTGTCGTTCGGAGGCGAATAAAATTGTAGGTCGCTCCATTTGTGCAACAAATGGGAAAACGCCAAATATTTATTTATGAATTTTTAATGAAAAAAAGCTATCGAATAAAAAAAATAAATGAATAAAAAAGGTTTGATCAAAAATTTAAAATAGTAATTAAAATAAAAAAAATTGAAACTTATAAAAAAATGTACCAAAATAAAATAAAATGAAGTAAAACAAAGTAAAAAAAGTAAAAATAAAACAAAAGAAAAATTTAGGAAATAAAATTAATTGAATAATAATGAACTAAAAAATGCGATAAGATATAAAATGATGTTTGCAATAAGAATAATATGTGACCTGGTCTACGAAAAGGGAGCTTACGTGCGAAAACTAGTTTTCTGTGAAAAAGCTGTTAAAAGCAAGCAACTCGTTTGGTTTACTCGTTTTTACTCTTCTTTCTCTACATTTTTAGTACACTTCTAAGCAAGTTAGGATTTTCTGCTTTTCACCACGTGAAAAAGCATCTCATCTTCCATCCGAATCAACCAAAAAGTGAAAATTGATTTTTTGACACCTAAGCCCCCTTTCCGTAGACCAGGTCACATATATAAAATGATATTAATATAAAACAAAGTAAAATAAAATAAAACAAAATAAAAATTAATTAATTAAAATAAAATAAAACAAAATAAATGAAATCAATAAAAATTAAAACAAAAAAATAATAAAAAAAATTAAAATTGATTGAATTAAAAACTAGAGAAATTAAATATTTAAAAATAAGATGAAAATAAAATAAAGTGAAACAAAATAAAACGAAATAAAATAAAGTTAAACAAAACAAAAACTGAACTGCAACAAAGGAAATAAAAACAAAATTTAAAAAGAAACGTAATGAAATATTAAAAAATTCAATTCAAATAAAATAAAGTAAGCAAAATAAAATAACACACAAAAAATTTAAATAAAAACAGAACAAAGTAAATTAAAATAATTTAAATTGAAAATTAAAAGCGAGTTTCATTAAATAATTAAAACAAGTAATTTTTAAGAAATGATACAACCGACTTCAATGCTCATAAAAAAAATGAATTTTATACACACAAAAATTGATATATTCGCGAAACTAGGGGCCAAATGCGTTTTTAGGTTTTCTCTCTGAAGTCAGTTTTTTTATTAAGTCACCTAGTTACCTCGACCAGAACGATCTACTGTAACAAACCCCTATTTGGCTAAAAGTGTTCTTTGGCCAACGTGTTGTTAAGAAATCCTCGCGGGGTCTTTTGACTGAATACCATTTTGGCCGTGTACTTCTAGGTACGGTGAGGGGAAGTCTGGTCCTAGCGAGGGCTTCACAGTGGCTCATAATTAATTTATGACAAGTGTTTTATTATTCTATTTACAGTGACAAGTAAGAAAACTTGTAGCAACTCATATTTCATGCCTACTGCTGTGAAGGAGTGCTTCGGTTCTCCTTTCTAATATCTGCGGATTCATTTTCGCCTAATGAAGTATTTAAAGCTGAAGGCACTCCCACATCAGCTTTCAGCTGACCTCGTGGGCTTTAATAGCGAGGAGCGCCGCTCTGCTATCCGAGTGTATGTAGATGTGTTCGATGGTTGCCCCACTTTCTGTATACTGCCACGGTGAAAAGGAGCCTTCTGGGTTTTAAGCCTTAAACTCCTGCTCCGACGTCGAGGCCAGTCTTGTAGCTTATTGTATTCCACCATATCCCGCGAGATGGGGTTTGTTGTAAACAATAGGGCCTCTTTCTTGATTACAGGAGAGGAGGTAGGTAAAGAAGCACCTCGAGAGCCGAAGTTGGTGTTGTTCTGATTGCCCCAGTGATGTACACGCAGGCCACTCGTTGTAGTTTGCTGAGCTTGGCCTGCGTGGACTTCACTTCTGCCTTCTTCCACAAGAGATGGCATCATACATCTAACTTGTCAGTTTAGGTCTGCTACCCCAATTCAGGCCCCATTTGTTTCCGGTAGGTCGAGATAGAGGACTTGGCTTTTAAGTAGCTTTATCTAGGTGCTGATGCCCTGAGAGCTTATCATCAAGGATAACACCTAGATATTTGACCTCTTTAGATAAGTGCAACTTTTCTCCTTGAAGGAATGGTTCTTTTCCTGGAGAACATGACAATGCTGGTATTCTTTGGGTTTAATTTAGACGCATTATTACGGCATTGGAGATAGTGTCTGCTAACGTACCTAGTGAAATGTCGTGTACGTTGCAGTGTAAATAAAAATATTAGTATCAAATAAAAGAGAAAATTCACCTGAATGGAGGAAGGTTACAGTTTTTGGTGCACAAAGATGAAAAGGTTCTTATTTAATTTTAATTATATTTTTATAAAAGTAACTATAGTTTATTCTTTAACAAAAATCGTATAAATACAAGTTTCAGTGTTTGTGGAATATTAAAAGCAATATCAAAAGATTTCGTAAAAGTGTCGAGAACTTTAAATAGATTTCGTAGAAAGATTTTGAATATGCAGTTTTGTTGCCCATAAAATTTTATTATAATACAGTTTTTTAAAAGTGAATTTTGGATTTTTTTTGTTGACAATGTCAGTAATTTTCTTCCATGGGAAGTGTGTTCAACAATTTTGTTTCTTTATATAGAGAAAATGAGCAACGCCTTAAAAAAAAATTGCCAAAAACCACATCCTCGAATCACGTCCCTCTAACTCTTTTAGTTTAAAAAAATCCTGTTCATCCTTATGAGAAAAAAATTAAGTTTGCTAAATTTGGAGAATTTTTTTTATTTGGTACACATGTCGGCATTCTGCACTACACTGAATTTTTAAACAATTTTTTTTAAGTTACTCATATCCTTTAAATTCCAAAGCCCTTGTAAAAAATCCTGGCGCCTTCGTGAGTGTATTGATTGCTTCATGTGCTTTGAAATGTTTTCGTTTTTGTCGCACGGTGTTATTATACAAAAAGGAAATTGCTGCGTATTCTTGTGTTCTGTGTAGTTAGAATGTCACAGCGCGCCCACTTGTCGTTTGTTTGTCGCCACACTTAACTCTTTTCACGTCACGCCACGCCACGCCACGCTTAGCAGCAGTTGTTCCCGCCGATATTTTTTTCTGCTGAATATTTTTGTGGCAAATTTATATCATTTAATATAGATTTCTGTAAATTTTTTGTTGTTTTAAATTCAGCTTGTTTTCATTATTAACAAGCCATGTTGTAAAATTCGCATTTAATGTTGTTGTTTGTCGTTTTATTTTTTTCTTTTTTTTTTTTGAAGTTTAATTTTCATTAGTGACACTATATAGCGTTGCTGTTGTTTTTCGGTGTGTGTGTTGTTGTTGTTTGTAGTATTTGCTGTTGCTTGATATATGTGCACTTCATTTTACAGCCATTAATAATATTTCTTTGACATGCGAAATTGTTGTAGTTGTCATGGTTCGACATAGTAACAGCTGTATTGTCGTTGTTGCTGTTGCTGTTGCTTTTATTGCCTAGCATTTTGCACTCATTCTTGGTCAGCTTGTCATTTACAAGTTGATTTCTTTTCGCGCTTATTGCCTTGCTTTTGTTGTTGTTGTTTTTGTTGTCGTTGTTGTTTGTATTGCTAGTTAATAAAAATTCGAATTTCTGTCGTGCGCGTCTCTCGCGCCGACATGACAGATTGCATTTGTACGCCATGCATGCATGCAACCCATGTGGAAGAATTATAGCAGTGCAGCGACAACAGCAACAACAATAGCCAAAGTGTCTAAAACAACAACTAAATAGCATTACATGCTTGTAAGCGTAACATGAAAGCATTTGCTGCAGCCTCACACCTTGCAGCCGTCAAACCCTGGCGTACACTGGCAACGAACGGTGCGGTGCGCAAAGTGCTTGCAACCAAGTCATGGCCAATATGGGCAAAGTGTGGCAGGTTGCTTGATAATGGCTACAAAAAAAAATCAGCCATTGTTCATCAGCAACGGCCAAGCGCTGCATGTTGCACGCAGTGCTAGCAGCGCTGTGTACGCTATTTGTGTTGCAAGTGTGGCAAGTGTGGCAAGTGTTTGTGCTGAAAAATCTAAATTTTTATTTGCTGTTGCTGTTGCTGTTGCTGTTACAGCTCTTATGCGGCCACTTATTGACAGAAATGTAACGTGTCGTTGGCTTGTAACGCGCGTTCATTCGCATTGTCATTGCTGATAATATTGTGCATAGTGTTTTTGTTATTGGTGTTGTTGTCGCTGCTCTAACTTTGTTTGCTTCATTTTGCTCGCATAACGCATGTACATGCCACAAATCGTTTGCGCGCGCTGCAATCGAACGAGCGACAGCGTGCGCAAAAAAAGCAACGCTCATTCCAACGGTGTTTCATTTTTAGAAATGGTGCAGTGAAATGATGCTGCATGCGACATGCAGGATGTGTGTAGCACCACCAACAACAACAACAACAACAACCGTTGCAATAACAACAAATGTGGCAAGCATTGCTGCACGCACAAAAATCGAGCAATAAAAACAACTTGTCGCGCAATGAGAAATATTTATGTGGGCATTCCGTTGCAGCGCACATACACACGCAACCGGCATGTAGCAGCTTCAACTCACAACAACAACAACAGCAACGCTCAAATATGAACAACAATTTTCCATGTACAACGTACGTTGTTGTTGCTGCTGTTGTTGCCGCTCGATTTTCCTTTTGCAGCGCACTGGCGGCCACTGTGTCTGGCGCGCCGGATTAGCCAGTGCAGTGCGGCCATCGCCAGCCGCGATGGGCCAGTCAAGTCAACGTCAGCCGCTTAGCCAGTCGGCGGCCGTTAACGCAACCGCCTTTGAGCTTAGCCAGTTGTGGCGTGTGACCGCCAATGGGTC